TCCTTTTCTGTTAGTTCGTTTGAATCAGGGTCGCCAATTTTTATTTTATTCGTCTCAAAATCTTCATCCATTATAGTAAATTGTGATGGAATTAGGACTGCCATCTCCCCAACTTTCGCATCATCTAGAGTGTTATACCTTAGATAGTTTGCAAAGGCGTTTATAAATGTGGATTTTCCTACACCCGTTTCACCGAGCAATAATATGTTTATTTCACTTGGCGCTTTCATTGTATGAGTAGTTTTTCTTAATCCGTATTTTCCTACACTCGTTTCACCGAGCAACAATTTGTTTATTTCACTTGTCGCTTTCATTGTACAAGTGGGTTTTCTTAATCCGTATTCGGTTGCTCCTCGTGTAACTGCACAGGTCGGTTGAGGGGGAATCAATATATGATCAACAACATTTTTAAAGCGTTCCTTGACTATTGATTGTAAATATTTTGATTCGCTAAATTCTCCTATTAAAAATATAGCTGAACAAGGTTCAACAGAATTTAATTCATGTATTAATCCGATGATTTTATTGATAACTGGGTCAAAAAATGATTTTACGGTTTCGTAATTAAAATCAATTATCCATTCATCTTCTTCCAATCTACTTCTTAATGGGCCTAGTATTTATTATAAATTATATGAGTGATGAGGTGAGTCAAAAAATTTTAAGACTAATGGATATTATTTACCCGTAACGTATTGCGTTATAACCGGGCAAACATTTTCTAGATCAAATTCGTAAAAAAATTCATCTCCGGTAAAACGACTTTGAATACATTTAGAATATTGGTGAATCATATACTGGTATTGACCAAAATGCTGCTCTTTTAATAGTTCAACTGCGACCGCTCCAATTTTACGTGTAATGAATTTTAAGAATTGCTGCTCGACATCTGATCCTCCACAAAAATCACCATATCTTGATACAATTTCACCAAATCCATTCTCCAATAGTTCTCGGGTTGTCAAATAAGTGATTTCTCTTCCACATTCAACAATCATAAATTTTTCTATTCAATATATATACGGCGTTTAAAGAATTTAAAATACTGCTTATTAGTGAGATTATATGACAAACAATTGATACCTACTGCCAATAATATTAAAATACTCCTTTGCAATTTTCGTGCAATAATGAGCGACAGCTTCATCTATTTATTTTAATAAGATTTATCAATAAATGAACAGGAAATAACAATGCTTGAATACATACGTTCGGTTACAAAATCCAAATTGGAAAAATCTTTCTTCTTAATCAATGATGCATTAAATACACATTCTCTCATAATATCGATTTCTCGATTCGACCATTCAGCGGGCACAGTAAGTATAAGGTGAACATTGTTGTAAAAGTCTACATTAGGCCAACGCTTCGTTATACACTCTCTTGCCAACTATATATTAAAAGGAAAAAATCAATAATCTTATTGCTTTCTAAATACAAGAATATTTTTTATTACTCACGTTTCCTTTATTATTATAATATAAATAACAATAATAATTCGAAAAATTATTTATAATCTCAAATAAGATGAAACAAAAATAACACAGACAAAGATATGGATATCAACCAATTTCTCTAAGATAATCGGATATGACTTTCTTATAATCAAGCCCAACCGGTAATGTAGGTTTTTGAGATTCAGGAATATCACTCAAATGCAGTTTAAATAATTCAACAGGCTTGATTTTATTTTTTTTATTTTTTCTTGTAGATTTAGTGGCCAATGCTTCGTATCCCCATGCTATCACGTTTTGAAAATCAGAGTCATATTGGAGGGCAGTTTCAATTCTGAGTTGGCCAATCACCCCCGGCCAACAGTCATTCGTAGTTACTGCTTTATTTAAGACATGGGCATAGCTAAAGGTCTAAAATTCGTAACGAATTATAAAAAAGGGTTCTAGCTAAACATTTTACAAGACACAAGAGTCTGAAATCTTACGGAATATTTTGTTCCAAAATCTTTATTATAATATGGAGCAAATATAAAATTTTATTATAAATGTATATACCGTGTATGAGATTTAAAGGTCGCTTTTCTTACCTATAGACAATATAACATGTATGTCAGGCATTGTATTTCGGAAAGAAAGAAATCGTTAGCGTTTGCTTTTAAATGTACTGTAAATGACATGTTATCAGACCTAACGTAGTACAATATTAATAAAAATAAACAAATATAATGTGTATACACCACCTGTGCCTATATGCTATAGACTATTTACTTAAAATATCTTCTTCATGCACTATCATTCCATTGCGGGTACACTCGTATTTAACATCAACATGCGGCCGTGTTCAAAATATCGGTATCTTCGTTGTGGGTACTGTAGTACAGTACACTGCAGTATCTAAATTTTTACTGTATCGTTGTCACGGAAATCGGCCGTGCTTAATTTATGAATGAAATGCAAGCACACTAGCTTTTAAAACTTTGCATTTTCTTCTTTATTAGCAAATAATTCTCAATATCAATTTCTTTAAAGCTCAACAAAGTAAGAAATTAAATTTTTTATACATCATACTGTTGTTACAGGGTATAAAAACAATAGTATGAATACAGATTGTTTATATTTCTAAAGTAAGAAAAAAAATAAACAACGACAAACAGGATAAAAGAAAAATAAAAGATAGAATAAAGATAATAAAAAAGAAGAGACAGATTGTAACTATTACTGTATACAGTAGTTCTACGACTAATGTTCCGAATGGGTCCGAAATTTTATATTTCGGGTCAGATAATTTGCTTACGTAATATTTCGGGTCGGGTCAACAGGTTAAAATCGGGTTTGACCCGTTTGACCCGTTCAATATTTCAGTCTGAGTTTAAAAAAATAAGAACTCGCTCTATAATAACTATAGCCCACACGATCTTATTACGACTTACAGATCTCAGCATACCTTTTATATCTATAATTTTTATGGCGCTTCTTTTACCCACATCATCCTTTATTCTGTAAACTGAATTGGTGCCCTCTAGGTTCGCATATTTAAAAATCCTTTTTTCTTAGCCATTTATACAATTAATGTGCTCTTTTATAAATTATTCTCTTTCACCAGATGAAACTGGAAATTCTTTTTGCTTGAGTCCGATTCTGATAATTATAAGATCATGATTCATGAATTTTCAAATTCAACCGGTAAAACGAACAAAATGGATAATTTTAGTGATTTTATGTGAATCAATAATTGTCAACATATATTCTTGCGTTATAGCAAGTTCTTGAAATGCGTGAAAAAGGCGTAACCGACTTGTCATAGTGCCCGATGGATAGTAACAATTTTAACTTCTTCTGATGGGATAGCTATTGTACGTATCTGATTTGAGTCGTAGCATAGGTGACAAAGTATTCTTTTTTATCAAAATTTTAATTTCAATATACACAAGATACGGAATTTAGGAAAAGGCGTTTCCATGTCTGTATTTCATGGTCATCACGGACGGATATTGTGTACTACATGGAGTTTAGATGATAAAGATTTGGTTTTCACGGATGGAGATGACGCGATGTGTTTCGGCTGGACCATCTGGAAATATTGGCGGATTTTCGACTGGTATTTAGATTATTACAATAAAAATATCTATTTACTCTTATACTTGCGGTAAACCATTAATGCCGTTATGTCGATCAATAATAATTATTACAAAACAGGCACAACACGGAAACCTCCCCAACATTAAAACCAACAAGAAATTGAAAAATTTACTGCCATTGAGTACAACAACACCTGTTCGACGTAAGAACCTTCAATATTGCACTTTCGATCTTGTAAAAAGGTTATATGGTGGTGATTTAGTAAAAGCATTAGAATTTTGGGCTGATGAAGAGAGCTTGGCCGATCATGATCAACAAAGTCCATCGTCCATATATTTATTTTTCGGAGAAGGAATTAATACAAAAAGATTAATTGCAAAAGACGGTAATTCACAATATATAAATTATCGCACAATTCTTTAGAGCAGTCTATTGGTTTAGATGGCCTAGAAATTAATCCAAGTCTGCCATTGGAATTAGGGTCAAATAATTTTTCTAGTTTAGTTAATTCTGTGAAGAAAACAAGAACTTTCTAATCAAGACTGGATACTTCTTGCACTTAGTCCCTTAGGTACGCAGATGACTTTGATTAACCAAATTATTTTACATTCGTTTATATTATTAAAATAATAATATAAGTCGGACCAGATGTATGGCAATCTTTAATGCGCCTGCAAGTGGAGAAGCTTTCCACAAAAAATGGTCGCCGCGGGTGGTTATGTGTTGGTTAGCATGTGGGGGGCTACTGACACCAACTATAAAGCTGAGATGTATCGGTAAGTGAAAGATTCAAATTCATGATCAAGCGAAAACCTAATTAATCAATTTTTATTTATACAGTGAGACTATTGCACTCACAAAGCTGGGACTTATTCCTGAAGACCTAGAAGTATCAGAGTTGTATTGTTCTTGGGCTTTCAACTTGAGAAAGCAGAGGCTTATGAACAGGCTGCTATATGGTAAATTAATGTAGAACTTAGGATTTCAACAATAAAATTTAATTCATACTTGAATAATTTTTTTACTAACATATGTAAATTTTAATAAATTGCTTAATTGTAAATAAGAACTAATGATGATGTCAAAGATGTCTGTAGGAAAAATAAATCGGGAAGCAACTAGTAATAGAGAATTAGATAAGTAGCAGGAAATGATATTAGCATACAAGCAAAAATATTTATGTAAATACAAAGTGTTTAAGAAGTCTCAATTATAAGTATTACTTATAGTATATAAATTAATATCTTATTATAGCATTATTTTGAAGTATTGTGCTACTAAGAATTTGATTATTTTCTAATGTTTTAATTAACCAAAGAACTTATTGTTTTATTTATTTTATTATGATAATAAATTTATTATTTTTTTAAAAAAAAATATAAATTTTCTAAAATTGTAAAAAAAAAATGATTCTAAAATTGCATAAAAAAATTATTTTTCTAAAATTGTAAAAAAAAATGTTTCTAAAATTACATAAAAAAATTATTTTTCTAAAATTGTAAAAAAATTAAAATTTGCAAAAAAAATAAATCTAGATTTATAGTACATTTCAAAATCTATCAATCATCTTTAATATTTTTTTTTGTATTCCATCAACTTTTTAAACACAAACATGCTTTTATAACATCTCTACCTAAATTACATCTTTTTGATGTAATAAGATTTGTTCCTCCAAAAAAAATTCTTTCAATTGATACATTAGTAGCTATTTAAAAAAATATTAGTAATTTATTTAATATAAAAAATTTATTTAATATAAAAAACAATAATATCACCTGGTACTGCAAGAAAATCTTGAGCTATTTTTGCAATATGTGGAAATTCTGTTGCATATAACTATAAATTAAAAATATTTTAATAATTAATTTAATATTTTATTATAAAATTTAAATTAGTTACCTTCTGCCAAGTTAAAACAGTAGCATTTTTATCAAATGATAATACACATGATGTATTTAAATATACATCAACTTCATCTATAGATTCAACTTTATGATACTTGTAAATATAAGTAGTTAACTTATTATCTTCATCATTTTCATAATGTAATTCTTCTCTTGTTACTGGGGCATATTTGTTATAATAATATAAAGTAAAAATTGTCTTCATATAAGTAATATAATCTTTTTTTCAATTTTTTTAATAATAATAATTAAGTTTTAATCTTGGATCCAAAACCAAAAAATAAAATAATAATAAGTAAAAAACAAATAAATAAATAATATAATATATATTAAAAATAAATTATATACTTGTAGCAATAATATAAATAAACCCTTTGGTTTTTGTATAATATTGCCACAATTTATTAATTGCCAATTCTGCTGCATTTTTTAAATCTGAATCTTGATTATTTTCTTTTTGAAATTCTTCAAGTTTATCCATTAAATAATTAAAAATTGGAATTGAAACTGTTAAAGTTGGATGATATGCTAAGCTTATATGCATTGTAGCACAAAAGAAGTACTAAATTATATTATTTAATATTATAAATAATATAAATTAAATTTTAATTATAATTTTGATTATAAATTTTTTTACCTTTAACAAATTATAAATTTTTTTTAGCTTTTTTCAATTAATATTTGATAATAGATATTGTTTTAAATCTTTATCTATTAATAACATAGCTTCAAGAGGCTAAATAATAAATAAAATTATTAATTATTATATAATATATTATAATAATATCTAATATTTTTTATCTTACGAAGTATTAATATACGTTCAATTATTTTATAAGTTGAATTTCATCTTGTTTTTACATCAATAATTAGGTTCAAACTTTTTTGATTATAATAATTACAATATTGAACTAATTTTTCTCATCTTTGAGAAGAAGCACGAATAGCTGTAACTAATTTTTGAAGCTATAATTATATATATAAATATAATAATTAATTAATTAATAAATAAATATTTATTTATTATTAATATATTAAAAAAAAAAAAACTCTTTCCTGACCGCATCAAAACCACCAAATTAGGAAATACCCAAGAAAACAAAATTTCGACTAAAGGAAAAAACAAAGAGGAGGGAGGCCCCTCTCCCAAACCTCCCAGCCCAAACTATGAATACACTCTTCTCGACATAGTTCTCGCCGACAACAAACAAAGGCTCCCTAAAGTCTCAATAATTTACAAGAACAACAAAACCTCGCAAATTTATGTTACAAAACCAGCCAAAGAATTCCAAATCCCCTTCCTTGACAAATGCCCTAAATCCTGGCTCATCCCCACAATCATAAAACAAAACAGAACTCTCGAAGAACATATCGAAGTCATAGAAGTCAAATTCGAGGAGAAAAAGCCAACAACCCGTCTCTTCAGCCCCCAACTCAAATTTACAACCTCAGTCCTAAACCCCAAGTCCTTGCAAACACTCAATGATTTTACAGAACATCAAATGAATTTTAAACTGGAAAAGAGCGACAGAGAGCGTGCCATCAGAGAAGTCATCAAAAACACAATGAACTACGACCTACACCTTCCCTGGACCAAAGTAAACATTATTGCAGACGAGTCCTCTCAAACCTTCG